TTCTATCTATTTATTCGTCTTTTCTTAATTAACTAAGTAAACTAATGTATTATCTTATTTATAATTATAATTTTATACTAATAATCATCTTTGTGTACACAATTTTCAGATTTCGCTGAAGATGGAATAAGTTATTCTGAAACGTTCAAACCTTGTAAATAAAATATTTTATGTTTTATTATCTTTCTTCATCTTCATTATTAAAAATTACATAAAATTATGAACATGCATTATAAAGACATTCTCCAATTTTCCTGAATAAATTGATTCAATAGTGAATACATTAAAACTGTGCATAATGAAATAAAACTGTCCCTTGTGAAAGCAGAAGAATTCTTTGTTGCTATATTTATGGCAAAAGCTGCTAAAATGTAGAGCAGTGTGACTAGACAAATCTGCTTGAAACAGAATGATATTTTATATTATGCCCATATACTGCGTATTTCTGTGCATAAATACATAGCTTCAGTCACTATTTTATTCGTAGTGGTTGTGCTAGTTTCTTTGTCTGTGCATTCCAAAATGATGTGTCAAAAAATTTGTATCTTGTCTTTTGTAAGTTGCATTCAGACAGCTACCATTTTCTTGCATACAGTGAATGGAATCTTTCTATTTTGTTAATTTAAACATCTTTCATTATGTAAACGTAACTGAACTTCATAATTTTTAAATTTGAATCTAATAGTTGTCAAGAGAAGGTCACCTTGAACCATATATTAGTCAAGATTTATGATTTGTCAGGTGCCCTACAATAAATCATGAACTGTTTCATTTATTAGCAAGTTTTTAGATAAGAAGTTGATATGTATATGTGTGATTCTTGCTACTTTTAGTGCAGTTTATCCAAAAAGGCATAAAATATATATTTCTTGATTTTAAGAAATGCCCTCCTTGTTATTTTAACTGTTTGTGGATAGTGTTCAAAGCCAATAACAACTTATAGAACTCATAAGAAAAACAAAAGCTATCTAATTAAAATTTAAAATAGACTTGTATTGAATTTGATTTGTAACTTACAGAATTGTTGCTTTTATAAAAGTTATGGTGTTGTTTACTAAATGTTTTTCAAATTTCATATAGGTACAATTAATACATTCAGAGTTATAATATGTATAGGTTCACAGTTACAAGGTTTGTCAAATTACATGACCACGTATACAGATGGATAAGATGATTGACACTATTATGATTACACTTATCCCTTAAGGATTTAATAAGCTGATTCTAAGTTTAATCCAATTTGGATAAGTATTTCCACTGTCAGAAAGAAGAAAATCAAGGGATGTCACTGACACCCTCCTAGTCTGAAAAGGACTAAGATGCATCTTACTTTATTATTGCATCTCTTAAATGCAGAATAAGTTTTTTCCATCCAGTTAATTTTTGTGGCCAGGATGCAAATTTTTGTGTTAGCATGACCACTGTATTTGGATGTATTCATAGGCCACATAATATTAATATAATGATATTGTATGGTTAATGTTATTAAATATATAACTTTAACCCCTCACATTGCCAATGGGATTCATATGTTTTTATTGACCCAATCACCATAACTATTTAATATTTTAGATATGAGTCAGAACAGCAAGAACAGGAAGCTATCAAGAAGAGGGATGAAATTCTGGAAGGAATGAAAGAAGTAAATGATGCATTAGATGAACTAAAGAAACAGAAACAAGCAAAGGAGAAAGAGTGTAAAAAAGTGAATAGGTGTGTGTCAAAACCTTTCCTTTAACATGTATCTTCCAGGGACATATAAAATTACAAAGTTATTTTATTTATTTAGGACTTTATTCCACATTTTTTTTAGGGATTTAATTCCAGGATTGATTGAAATTATTAATTAATAATAGACAACCTATGAAAAACAAGAACTAAGCACATACCTACTAGTGAGGTTAGTTTAGCTGTCAAAATTTTTAATGCATATTGGAGGGATTTATACATTTTGGTAAAAAGTTTGGAAAAAACGATCTTTATACTCCAGATATTTATAAAATAACTTTTTTTATTTTAACCAACATTTCACCTTTGCAGCTTCATCAGGGTTAGTACGTACAACTGTTTGATATTGTAGAATATTCTAATATCAAATAGTTTTATGTATAACCCTGATGAAGCTGCAAAGGTGAAATGTTGGTTAAAATAAAAAGTTATTTTATAAATATCTGGAGTGTAAAAGTCTTTTTTTTTAAAACCTTTTATCAAAATAAGGTTAGTTTAGAATTTATATTCAAATTTGGTAGATTTCTCCGATATTGGGTCAATAATCTGGTAACAAGCATGTAAAATAATTTTATAATTTTACATTGCAAAATAGAGACTAAATTACTTTTTCTTGAGACTGCCAAGGCACAACG